GTCTTTTCCAACCTAAATGATTCTATGATTCTATTCTATATATGATCATATATGACTGAAATAAATGATGTGATTTGGGAGTGATCTGGAATTGTTCTTTTGAGCTTTCCCTAAAATGATACTTAAATATCTGATAATCACTTTCTCCTACCAGACTAACAAGAGTTGTGAATATCAAGAAGAGAATCAAGCCTTTGCTTCCAACCAATTGTCATTTTTGACGGTCCGCGAGTAGCAAGAGAAATCCGAAAATGCCATGCTAGTCCCTGGAAGAGATTTTGATTATATCAGATTCAAGTAGAGTGCTCATAAACTTAAGAAACAAAGTGTTTTCTCGAAGTACTATGAATCCCAATGAATCAAACAGGTCAGAAACTGACTGAGGGTTGTTTACAACTTCAACCTCTGAGGTAAGAATCAACCAACTGCCCACAAAGTACAGGGCTGTTCCATTCCTCATAACATGAACAGTCACTGCTGCCAGGACCCTGGTAAAGAGGCTCTCCATGGTGTGCAAACTGATTTTTTGATAGTAGTGATTCAGACTTGTCATGTGGGTAGAGACTGTAGTAATAATGGTTCTTTTCATGTAACATCTCACTGTTTCCCACACCAACTGCTTTATATTACAGCACCAGAAAGACCAAATTCTGGTTTTCACGTGAACTTAGCAGTAAAGACATTCAATTCCGTGAGGTCCAGTATGGGCAACAATCCTTCCCTTCTTCTGGATACTAGAAAACACCTGCCATTTTCTCTGGCACCTCAAGTAGCAGGAAGGCTACATTGCTTGAAAAAACGTGATGGAAATGATACTGACAATTTTCAAGAGCTTCAATGAGCCACAGGTCAGACTCCAAGACCTCTAATTCATGATGACAGATACTCAGAACATAGCATCTTTATTATACAGAAAGAAAAATGGAGAGGTTAAGTCCAGCGATAAAGGTTCAGTGTCCCAGCTGATCTCAAAACCACAACCAGAGGACAAGAAGGCAAAGCTGCACTAACGAGAAAAATGCCTTTTATGACTAGGACTTCTAAAAACCTGCATGACTCCTTTGTTTGTATTTTGATAGAACATGGGGAGGAAATTGAATACCAGCAACTTTAAATCCCTTGCCAGAAAAGTACAAATGGTAGGAAGTGAGAGGTAAAGAGGTTCCCTTCTTCAAACAGAAATCTCAGACAGCAGGACCACCATCTCCCAGAAAGATTACTTGGGGAAAGATGGAATATTCCACTTGGCCTCAAGGCAAGATGAAACAGTCTGAAGCAGCGGTGGTTCTCCTATCTCCGTTGGAAAGATTTCTTCAGGGCACAAACCACATGTACACAGTTAGAAAGACTGTATTTTGAAAAGCGTCATGATGACAGAGGATTTGCAAGTGTGGTATCAGGGAGGGATTCTGCACATCAGCTGCCTCTAACTCCAGGAGGCCCTCTTGATACTACAGAGTGCTGACTTTTAAAGCCAAAACACTACCAGGCTTAGTGCTAGTGCCATGTAACTGGGGACTATTTGGTACAATTACTGCTGCAGAAAGCAGTGGAAATAAGGATGGCTCCAGATCTAAAATTATCAAGGAACTCAAAACAGATACTTTAAGTGAGAAACACAGAGAAATGACATCTTATATCAAAGCAAGAATGTCAGTAGAAGAAACCCAAGTGAGAGGCATCTCTAGTGAGTCATTCTAAGTAACCATGGGGGATGATGAAGTTCAGATACAAGACTATTTGTTCTTTGCCTTACCCTTTTGATGTGAAGCTACCATGGCCAGAATCCCTTTTAAGGGGTTATATTATTGAAGTAAGCTTTGCCAGCACATTTTGGGATTGCAAAATTTCAGAATAGTAAGACAAATAAAAGACTGAGAAACAGGTCTGTCAGTAAAAAATGGTAATAATAATAAAAAAAAACTATTTCCAAATAGACTTATTCCATCTTCCTGCTGTGAATGTACTGTGATCTGGTTTGTACCAAAGTTGATCACAGAAGTCTTGGGGCAAGAAATATGACTCAGAGCCATGGTTTTGACATAACGAAGGTCACAAAGCAAGTCCTGTTCAGTAGTGTGCCACAATCAATAGTTAAGTTCTTACTTAATTGTCCTGAGCAGACAGTCCAGTTTTATTAATTGATGGTATTCAATTGCAACAATAAACTCTGTTGCACTTAAGAAAATCAGGAGTTACTTGTGATATCCTGCATAGATTTTAAGGTGATTAAATTTTGGGCTTTGTGTTAAAAATCTGGCCTACTTGGTTAAGACACAATTGCTGTGCAAACCATCCACTCTATTGATCTAATCCTGAAAGACAACAGTAGACATAACAATGATGAGCTCCTAAGCAAAATTTTAGAAAAATCAAGAGTCATCATTCCTTACCATTCTCATGCGCAGTTCAATTTGATTATTTCGACAAACTAAGCCATTAGTGTTTCAAAATTATCACTCATAAGGCTGAGCAATACTGTCTCATTATTTCCTCGTTGTTTCCTCTTATATTGCAATTGTAAATTTATCTAGGGCAAGAGATATCTTTTTGTTCTTTTTATACTGCGTATTCCATTAATGAGACCTAGAAAATGTCTGAAGTTCCTAGGTTTTGCAAAAGTATAAATGAATAATATAATCTGTTATCCACTGCCATTCTGTACCTTAAGATATTTTACAAGATCAGTTCCTAGAGCACGAGCTCCAGATTCTGTTTTCTGACAGTACTGAAAAAAATTATGCAAGTGCTGGTCCTGTCAAAGACAAAAAGAACAAGTTAAACAATATCTAACATTACTATCCATAATCCAAACCAGAACACATTAAAAATACTTAAATACAGAAATCCATATACGTGTCCATTCAAAAATAATTGAAGTGCACTACTCTGAAGACTAATTTAGTCTGCATGTAACATTGATTTTTTTTAACCCATATAAGAAATTTCTAGTGACTTTTTTAATACCCATTATATAAAATACCACCTATATTTGCTTCACATCAACCAACATGCAGAAAATAGCACACTTAATGTTAGTTATCCCAACCAATCATAATACGTATTTTATGAGCAGCTATAACAGGACGCATCACTTTGTAGACATGCCAGTAAATGGCTTTCAGACAGCTATGACCTCTCATCTAACAGGAAAATTCAGATTGGAATGGATGACAATTTTAGACAAAAGGCTCACATTTTGAATAGTTTCCATTTAAGATCTGCTGTTTTTCACAGCTGATGTGAGAGAGACCATGCAGAGTGTACAAGAGACAAAAAAGTAAGAGATCAGCATATTGAGTTTAAGAATCTTCCCAGATACTGGATACACATATAATAAACAAACATTATTCCTAAAACTTTCTCTAATTTAATTTGTTTTATAACTCACCTGCGTATACACAGTTGACACCAGATGAGTGGATATTTTTAACAGCTGTTTGCCTCCATCTACCCATTTAATTTCAGGACCAGAATGCTGCACACACACATGTGGAGGAAAAGTAAAATAATGTAGTGGTATGCTAGAGTAAAACAATTTTTTAATAGCCACCACAAACAACACTTTTTTTTCCCCCCCAAACAGGTTGAAGAAATGTGTGCAATGAATAAAGTCATAAAAAAAGGAAAATTATGCAGGCAATATTACCAAAAGCATTTATGAAGCTTAAAATATTTTTTAAAATTCCCACAGTAGTTTCCTCACTGGCTAACAAAATTGTTTTTCTATACGTCACAGATTTCATGTTTCCCCTACAAATCTGCAAAGAAACTTCTGACTAGAGAGAAATATCTACTAGTTTTCTGAGAAAAATAACACAAGAATTTCCACAGATACTGACACAGTTTAAGCCTTAACATAGGTCACTGACAGGCAGCAGCCAGTGATTCCTTCCCATCCCATTTCCAAAGAGCTGAGAATGGGAATGCTCACCTGTCTACCCTGACAACCAGTTAGGGAGAGATTTTACTGCTAGATCTACAACTAGTCATATTGGTCCTAACCTTCTACCCATAGGCATGAGCAGAGACAAACAGCAGAGGCATAAAGAATACACCTACAATGTGAAAAGATGAAAGATGTGAAGGAGACAATGGTTGGAAAGCTTACAGCAGAGTTTAAAAAAGAAAAGGTGGTAGAATAGGAGGAGAGCAGCACCTCTTGCTGTTGATTTTAGGTCTCTTCCAAACGGAGTCAATTTTGTCTCTGCATTTCATTCTCTTAGTCAAATCCCCTATCACATTTTACATTTTGTATCCTCCTCAGTATCATTTTTATTACTACAATTTTGCAAGCTTTCTGCTTTGAAAAATACAACCATAAATTTTACTAGTGAAGTATAAAGATCACAAAAATCAAGATGTGAGAATAAGACTTTTTCAGGAATAAAGGACTTACTGAAAGGAGACAGCATGAAATGCTAAAAAAAATTTAGTAAAGGACTTCAGATTATTTGCATATCTTCATAAACTCAAAATAGTTTAATATATTTAAAAATTACTGTAGCTTCTAGTTAATCATTACTACAAAAAATGAAACTTAAACATTTCCTAAGTACATCAGCTAAATAATAACAGAAATAAGTACTTAACAATTTAAACAAAAAACTGTATTAGGGCAGGTTGATTCAAATTCTCATAAAAGTCAGAATTTATTCGTAAGTTTTGTCTCCCATTTGTGTTTGGGTTGGTTTGTTTCCTGTAGTCAGATGTCTAACATTTGCAAAGCACTCCATTTCAACTATCAAAGAAAAAAATTTCTACTAGAAAATTACTTAAATCTTATCAGACTGGGGAATTACAACCAAACCTTCTCTCTACATCTTTTTTTGAAAGATTAGAGCAATTTTACATAACATACCTTTCCAACCCCCACTTCTTGATAACTAAGATAGCCTGACGGAAGATTTGCTGACACTGGGATGTGTTGCTCATTGGTCACCACTCTTCCATCTTTTATTAGAGGAAGCCAAGAATACCCAACTACAGAACACAAAAGGCAAGTAATTTAAAATATCTTATGAATCTTTACATGAACCCTTACAAAAGTCTTACTGTACACTTCTGATATGCAATTCATAAACGAGAAAATGTTACTGTAAGGGCCAAATAATTTGAACTCAAATGATTACAAGTAATTAAAAAGGCAAATTGTCACAGAGTTTGAAAAAAAACATACATTTGATAGACATTCTTAAACAACATTTGAAACATTTAAATTAAAAGGAATACTTAATGAAATCTTTCAGTCAGTATAATGTAATTAGAAAGCATTATATCAATCACAAAAATCACAGGTTACCAGATAAGCATACTTCATCAAAATCTCACCAGTAGTTACTGAAAGTAAAGCATTAGCATACAAACCTTGTGTTTCAACAACATCTTTCTTCTTGGTACTCCCTTTGCTTGAATTATCACAGCTGACATGGTAGAAGGTGAACAACAAATGGTGCTTTTCATGTAACTGAGTGGGCAATTCTATTTTAATCTGAAAGGCAAAGAATCACGACCTTTGTAGAAGTCTTCAGCTAGAGCAGTGACATGTCTTACTGGATGAACACTTAAAAAGTAATTCCAGGTTGTATGTTATTTGAAGCAAGATCAAGAATCACACACACAAAATGTACAAAAATTTACTTACAGTGAAAAGGGAGGGTCTGATTTAACTAAAATCATTATCAAGAACTTTGCAATCTTCAAATCCTTTCTTGTATTTTTGAAACTTACATAATGCTTAAACCAGTAAAAGTTACCTCAGAAAGGTAGCTTACCTCATCATAAAACTCTGGATTTTGATGGTGATGCAGAACAGCAGCAAACGCACTTCTAGTAAATACTGGTCCACCTGGCCTACCATAGATACACTAATAATAGAAAAAAAAGGAAAAAAGAACAAAAAACACCCCCTGTGATCCTTTTTCATTCTCTGCTTAGAATCTGTTTCACCTAGAATTTGAAATATTTTAATTTGTGTTTAACTTGGTTCCGTTGCACAGACAGGGGATTACATGATCTGTAGTCTGCCTGCTGTGCAGTAGAGCTGACACTGTGATTTCACCTCAGGATTCCTATACGTTTTTCTACCCCTTTTCTTCCAGGCACCTCTTATACACTGTGGTAGCTCATAAACAAAACACGGAGCTTGGCTCTGCAGTTGATCTAAAGCTTTACTGTTTTAACTTAAAGAATTGCTCCTGCGGAGTAAGCATAAGCCACCCTTGTTTGCAACAATTTTATTCTTGGAATTTTTGTTGATGTAAAGAAATTAAATGCTCTGAGGGTTCTGTAGTAATCTTTAATATCAAAAACAAGCAACTCATCTAGAAGTTACTCTTATGCCAAATGCAAAAGGAGGACAGAAAGCTGCCATCCCAAACTAGATAAATTAATCCTGTACAACTGTGTTACTGTGCTATTTTCTTCTATCAGTCACCAAAATCAAAAGACTAACCTTTAAAGGCAAAGAATCCTCTTCATCAGAATCCTTGAACTCAATGCATACTGCAATATTTCTAGCCTAAAGCAGTGTTTAAAAAAAAAAACCAAACACTTAATCATAAGGATCGTCACAGAAACATAATATGTAAACAATCTTAACCAAACCTGAGAAAGAAGAATGTACAGTTTTCCTGTACTCACCTTTGCAAAAGACTTTTGACTATCATATTTCAAGTGCTTTGGATAAACATAAAGATGATTGTTGTAGATAGTGAAAGGCTGAGTGTGTTTTGGTATACAAGGAACAAATTCCTCTATTTCAAACGTTATTAGTGTCTTGGTACTGTTTTCAAACTGTTTCATGGGAATGTATGATGAGTTAACATAATCTGAAAACACATAAAAAAACAAATAAAAAACTGAAGAGAAAAAGCCTGAATGTCCATTTAACAGTGTTTATTAATACTTACTTGGAAAATCTGGTGACACATTATCAATTGTAACATCCAGGTTTCCTAAAATAACAGGAAGTTTGGCCATCTTTTCAGGTCTATAGGAAGGAAAAAAACCTCAAAGTCAGGCTAATGCAAAACTATCAGATGCCAGAGAAAAGAGATAATAGGAAACAGAGGCAAAAGTAATATCCTGACATAGGGGTATGAGAGGAAAGGTAGTCTGGGGGCGGATGACTGATCTGGTCTTGCTTTTTTGCCTAGATTCACAGTGGTGTTCTCCTTTAAATTAAAAAAAAAAAAAAAAAAAAAAAAGGCGTTATCCACAAGTGTGGAAAAGGTTAAGAAAAAGCATGATTTTCTTTCTTTAAATCAAAATGAAAAACTTTGTTAAAGATAGGTTTTGTTTGCCATGTAATAACTCACTATCATTTGCAGCAAAGAGGGGACCTGTAAGTAAGCTTTTTAAATCTCAATGGCCAGTGATAAGCATTTATGGTAATGGGGTAAACTTGGGGGAAGAGCAAAGGGGAAGAGAAATCAGCAAGTTCACAGAATGTATCTTCTACTCAGCAATTTTTTTTCCTACCTCTTCCTTTTTCTAGAGTAATAATTCACCCTGCAAAATATTTACTATTAACTAGCTTACTACGAAATTTCTTAGATGCTATCATGTAGCTAATTCAGAAACATGATTTGAAGTAGGAGTATTTTCTATGTTAAAAAAAACAGTGCAGAACCCTTTATTAGTAAAGATAGTCAGCAGCATGATTTTTTTAAATTATTGCAGAGGAAGTGGATGCAAAATTTTCCAAAGTCCAATCCCGTGCTGTGAAGCAAACAACTTTTTCTGGTTGGAGTCTGGATTCTAATTCCAATAGCCAAGCCTTAGACATTACAATCTCCTTCTTACTAAAATTCCTGTGAAATACTGTACACAATTACTCAGATAGGATGCTGAAATAACCAAAAGCATTTCCTTAATTCAGAAAGTAAAGTGATGTGTCAGGCTAATTCACTATATTAGTTTCAGTTTCAATAATATTGTTTATGGCAAGGAGTATCAGTACACAGCAATTTCAATGCTATGTAAACTTCAATGAAACTTTAAGCAGCTTGCTAAAATGGAATTAAAATATCTATTACAAACCTCATCTCCTTATCAGATTTGGTAAGCAAGAATAAAATAAAGAAACTATAGCCCAAGCCTTTTGTGATCAGTGATTGTTGAAATTAATACAACTCCAGCTAACTGTACCATAACAGAAGTGGAAACAACTTTGTGAAGCAGCAAAGATTGCTCTATTATTTTACATCCTATTTAATACGGAAGGGGATTAGAACTCATTTATTAATAGGGTCATCTGTAAGCCTTGCACACAAACTGATGCAGTCGTTAGGAATACCTTGTAAAGTTCTGTTATTTAGGCATCCTGAGTCACATACACTCCCAAGGAAGGTGGGCTGGATACTGGCTTGAATCCTGTCCCCTAAGAGCTAGCATTCTTGGCCCAAGGTCAGTGAACATACGGATTTATGCTCATATTTGTTTTCCTTTGAGAACCAGAAAAGCAGATTGTGCAAGTGTAACTCCTAACACAGAGCTACTTCAGGATATGATGCTTACTACACGTTAGACATGGCATAATACTTCAGTCCTGCTTGTAGCCCCCAAACACTGCAAAGGAAAAATCTGTAGCTTGTATGAACGCGTTGATTACATTTATACAACTTCTATATTTGAAGTGAAAACCATATAAATACATACATCGAAAGATTAGATACTCCAGTTCAAAACCATAACAAAAAATGGTGGGGCTTGGGATGGTGGGGGTGTTAGGGTGTGGTTGCTTTGGTTTTTAAAGTGGGGAAATTAGACTTACTTCCTGAAATCTGCTAATAATTTCAGCATGTCTTCATTTGAAAGTTTATTACTGTCTTGTCTGAAAAGAGGAGAAAATCTTGCATTTTTGTCAAGGGTTCCTGAGGCATCTTTAAACAGCGTCCTGGAAGTCAAAAATCTTGCTTTCAGCTGAGTTTATGAAAGTATTGAAATTCAGTGTAAGAAATTTCTTTACTACGAATTAGAACATACTGCACCATCCTTCATATTAAGCATTTAATACTCTTGTCATTGTAGGTGAGTTTTAACAAACAAATAGCTCAGTCTAACAAATCAAGTGTGAACCATTTCATTCTTACTAAAATAAAAAAATATTGACAATAGAAAACAGTTGGCAATATTCAATGGTTTGAATAATAATATAATGAATGCTGATAACTTTTTTCCCTACTACAGAGCTGAAGTGTAAGTTTGTTTGTCAGAAATCTTTGGTTAATTGAAAGTAAAACAAGAAATAATTTAAATAGCGCATTAAGTTTTACAAGAAGTGAGATGCAGAAAATAAAAAAAAGTTCAGAAAAAATACAGATTGACAAGATCTGTCCTTACCTAGCTGCCCAGGCAAAAGGCATTCTATATTGACCTAATCTCTGGCATGCCTGCTTAGCGTTCTTCAAAACTTTCTGTGCAACCTGCAAGGGACATAAGAAATAGCCACATTTTAAAAGCTACATTTTTTTGTACTGTTAGTACACAAGGAAAAAAAAAAAAAACAGATATTGACACTGATATGAATTGGAAAAACTTGTTTAGAAGGTTAATCCTAAGTAGGCACGTGAAAGACAAATAAAAATACCTCTTAACAATTCATTTCAGGTTAAGCAGGGCCTGCTGATTTCACAGCATTTCATAGGTGAAAACAGACCCATCTACACTCCCAATAATACAGATTTAATTAACCAAGAAGAAAATTATTATATACAAAACTCATATGAAAGCTAGAGCAACATCCAACTGGTTTTTAAGACAAAATTATGACTCCAGATAAAAACATTTCCCCCACCACTACTTGCTCCCCTGTTCAACCATCCACTCTACATACCAGAACACATTCCTGCAGAGTAAATAGTAAAATACTCTGCAATACTTGTATTACAGGTACATACAGACTATGGGGAGGAGTTGTATGACAGTCACATGGATAATCCTATGTATGGACATTGCAATATTGTTTTCATTAAAGCTTTAAATTTTTTGGTTTTTTAACTTCTAAGTGGACAAGCAATTCAATTATATAGAACCAACATGCATAATAATCAGAGCTAGAAACCCACTAGTCTGAGATGTTCAACACTGAGCTGAACCACCTGAGCTAAAGCAGAAGCTCCTGACAGAGCAGTGGGCTTCTCTTTTCCAGAAACCAGCTTCTCCTATGTGCCTACACAGAGCAAAATTATTTGCCAGAGGCAAAAAAATGCAGAGTAAACCTGCCTGAATATTATCCCTGATTTATGCTGTTGACATTATGAAGAGCTGTTTCTATTAGTGTGTTGAGCCAACTCTCCATTATCCTTTCCTGTAAAAAGGGGGAAATTGCACTCAGAAGCACAGAACCTTGATAAGTGGTCATCATTAATTCACTGTATTCAATGTTTAAGTGGAGAAGTGATCTCACGGCTATAGAATTTGCTGCTTCCATTTTCCTTTTTTCTTGTCCAGAGTAGTAACTCTGCAGGGAACCGGAACTTGCTCATTCCACTGACACATATGGAGGCTTATATAGCTGGTACTGTTCTGTTTTGTTTCAAATTATTATGGTGTAATCCCAGAGAACAAGAACAGAAAAAAACCTCAAACTAAGTTCAATTGTTTAAAATTATAAGCAAATGAATACCAGAAATGCACGGCATAAGTTAATATAACCATGAATGTTCCTATTGGCTACTCCTACAGTACAGGGCAATGCAAGTCCAGCACTCAGCATGAAATTTGGGAACACTTGGGCTTACTTAACCTTCCCAGGTGGCTCAGGCCCAAGACCACCAGAAGAAGTTACTCAGTTCAGGTTTGTTTTAACTCAGTAACAGTCAGCATACACTTCAAAACCAGACTTCTAAAATACAAAGCTGCTGTTTTCCAACAATAGCTGAAAAAAAATCTCAAGTATTCCTGGAAAAGCAAATCAGTAGTCTGATCTATATTAAGACCAAGTGAAAAATACTTTTTTTTTTTACGTGTAGCCTAGCCAGCATTAAATCAGTAGGAAAGAACACTGTTCCCCTGCAGAGACTGAAAGTTAACCCTTCCTTCTTCCCTTTCACTAGCTGAAAACAGCAAGAATGTCAACTGTAGTTGGCATTGCTTACAAAAAAACCTTTTCTCCTAGTATCCTGGTCCAACTATTTAAACACAATTGTAAATCAACAAAACTATTTCTTCAGTGACAAACAAGAAGCAGCAACTGACAAAGCTTCTTGTAGATGTTTCAGAAAACATTAAAATGTTATGTCATCCTAGACTCCTGCAAACTTAAGATGTTTCAGTGGTTTATTTCCAAAAGTGATTTGGAGTTCTATCAAATCTGCAAAACATTTTATAGATAAACACAGAGGCTTAACGATCTCAGTGGTTCTGAAGGAAAAAACAGCAAGAGTGCCTATAAAGTTACAGTAAACTATGGTCACCAAAAAATGAGACAAAGGAAAAGTCAACAAGAATAATACAGTAAGATGCATTAACTAAGAGAGACATAGTTAATTTCTGACCTATATTTAGTATTTCATTGTTCAACAATTTTCAACTCAACTTTCACATGGAAGTCTAATATTCTTTTGTCAAATCAATTTAAAGCCATTATAAAAATTATAAACTATGTCACGATTATAAAAAGCTACGTTTCCCAATAATATGTTACTTTATCTATAATGTTTCAATTAATAAGTTACTAGTAATAACTACAACTTACTAAATCAAATCATCTAGTTATCTGAATTTCCTGTAAAAGAACTAAGCTTTTGATTGATATTTATTAATTTGAAATCAACCTGCCTTCCCTCAGCATTTTTTCCATACCACAGAAGAAGATAACATACCTTTGAAGAATCTGAACTTTTCATATATGGTTCAGCACAATGTGTAATACTTCCCTGTAATACTTTTTCTATTCTAGCCACAAGGAAAATGTCAGCATGAGGACATGTAACTGAGAATATTCCCTAGAAATAAAACAAGAGATAAATATAAAAGGAAGACACACATTTTACATCACATAACAGAAAGCCATCCAAAGCATGTAGGAAAACTCTCTACTTGTATCCAAAATCCTACTAATTCTTTAGGTTACTAGCTCTTACCTGCTTTGGATATTGTAACACAGTTTCATGAATGTCTTGAATTCTGTGTAAGCTATCACCACTGCCATTCATCATTTGTTGAGATGCATTGGGTATCATGTGCCTTACTGAGGCGTGGTTCAAATCAACATGGAAATCTGCTGAAATCTTCCGATTGTTTTTAATATCAAATAATGATAATGTGACAAAGAAAGGTTCTACCTAAACATTTAAAAAAAAGAATCAAGTGTCATTACTGACATCTATATTACTGTAAAAATGTGTATTAAAGGAAGATGAGCAACATTTTATAAACAGTTACACAGTCATCACTCTAGATAATACTGACAAGATGTAAAAGACAGTAAAATAAAAATTCCACTTTCTGCAATACAACAAAAAGATTAGTAGCAAAGTTACTTTTCATAGGCTTTAGGCTCTCATTTTCATTTAAAGGAGCAGAAAAAACCACACAATGTAAGTTTCTCAATCACAGCAAGGAATTCCTGCCATTAAGAATAGTGCCAACAAAATTTTAAGACATACATTACCATATTAACAGAAAATAATTAGATTATTTACATTTGTCGTTGGTCCTTCTTCATTTTCTGCAACGCAGCTTTGCAAATTAAAAGATAAATCATTACACTTCACAAGAATTTTTTTGCCAAATTTCTCTTCAAATGGTTTCACTTCTGGTTCAATACCAGAAAAGTCAAGTTTCTTTAAAAAGAGAAAAGAAAAATCAACGTAAGTTCTTTTTCATCTCAAAAGGATCAACATAAAAGGAATTAACATGCTTCCTTGTAGAAAGTCTAACCTGTGCATCTGGATCCAAGGCAAAAAGTTTAACTCTGCTTTCACTTTTCAACTTGATTTCTGCTTCTCTGGTACTCTGGACAAAACAAGAAAAGAAGTCTTAGTATCACATGATAAATTAAAGTGGGTTTCAATTTTATTCCTTTTTCTGTGATGTTCAAAGCTTTACACGTTTTTAATTCATGCACTCTTCTCTCCCTAACTGAGCTTTGTACTGCCCTAGTTTAAATTGCTCCATCGTGTCGAGAAGACTCCTCTCCTCCAAAGGCTTTTCCAGGCCTAGAAACACAAAAACTTACATCAGCAACATGTAACCTTCCAAGCTCATGAGAAATATACTCCAGTGTAGCTCATATAGCGCTTTGCCTCCTTAAACAATAACTTTCATAACACTGTTTTATTTTTAAAAAAAAAAAAAAAAAAAAGCGTACGAATGTAGGTTAAAGCTCAGAGCTATCCTGAGACCATAAGATTGCTCAGGAAACAACAGGTTACCTAAATTAAGAAACACCATCATAGCTCTCTTTCTTTTTTTTCTTTTTCTTGTTTGGGTTTGGTTTTTTTTTTTTTCCTTTTCTTGAGCTTTACTGCCAAAAAAGTGGTTTTCCTGTGGGTAGATGGAAAAACCTAAAACTTCCAAAAGATAAAACCCTCACACTCAGAAGTTACTTTACAGAGTACACTGCACATCCTGCCTGGGATCTGTGGATACCTACCTATTCACAGTAAAACAAAAGTAAAGCGGAACAAAATAGAATGTGAAAACTGATGGTATACATAGGTTACTTCTTCAAAAAAACGTATTAGTTAAAGAGTATTCTATGATTTTTAAAGTCACAGGACATGACAAATGGACATATGCATGCACCAAAATTACAAATTACCCATGTATGAGAGTTGCCATTCTCAAAGTAGTAGATGGCTAAACAGGGATACAAAGTATTACATTACAGAAAGGTGTCTATTTTTGGATCAGCCTGTATGGATTAAAAGAAGTTACCAACCCAAAATGCTCATCACAGCCCATCAGCTGAAAGTGATCTACTGGCTACATCTGCTTTGCTGGAGGTTAAAGAAACTCCTACTATGTCTCAAGAAAAAGAAAAAAAAATCAACCCACCACCAAACAAAACCCCATCAGATCTAAGAGCTCAAAACCCTATTTTAGGTTAATAACAATTAAAAAAAAAAAAAAAGAAGTTTACTTAAAGGATGCATTACAGAAGAGGAACTTCTGAGGTGTGATTTTGAGTATAGATGCTCTAATGGATTTCATTTACTTTACCTTGTTATCTTTAACACACACAGGAGAAAAGGACAAGAGTTGCTGTGAAAGACATGACCCAGACACTCAATACCTGCAGAGTATTAGCAGACTTTGCTTGTTCAACAGCTGGCATGATTGAGAAATACAGGACTAAACTGTGAAGAAGTTTAAAGATGGCAAGAAGGTTGCATGTACGTTTTGGAAAGGGGAATAGTCAGTGGCAAGTACTGAAGACGAAGATGATCTAGTCGTAGGAGCAAGACAGAAACTGTTTCAGCTAAAGCATCTTGAATACTTTTAGATTCTTTGGTGTTTTGCGCACTAAAGACGAGATGACAAAAATATGCTTTTTTGACTGACAGATCAGGGGCAGTTGGACAGAAGTCAGGAAGTGAAAATGTACATAGTCATTGACCCTGGCTACAGCACGGCAGTGACTCTGTAATTCCATTTCCTCATCCGTTGTTTTACAGTCTCTGTTTTGGGACATTTTTTTCCTACCTCAAGGAATACTGGGGACCTGTAACGGTTAAGGAGGTACTTGGGCACATTAATAACTATGTGACTGTCATGATCAAAGATAGAGGTCTAATTTGTTTTCTCTGAAGATTAAAAAACAAACAAAAAGCCCCAACAAAAACCCTACATTCACTCTTGGTACTTAAGTTACAGATAAAAGGAACGTGAAATAGGCAGGACAGACAGACAGACTGAGATACAGGCGTGCACATCTGTGCACTACAGCGCACAATAGGATCTTATTTAGTTTATGTTATAAACTAACAGCTGTTGATAGAAAAAATGAAGTCTTGGAGATGTACTCACAAGGGTTAAACCTTTCCTAGGAAGACTGTTTTTTCCCCTATTGTCAGGTGCTCTGCAATCACCCCTGAAGGAATTTCTCTTTCCTCATAAGGATATGAGGTCAGCTATTGTGAAAATCTCCTCCTAGAACCAACAAAAATAATAGAGCAGCTATAAACTTTTCTAAAAGAAGGCTCAATGCCTTGTATGTCTTCCACTGGGGAACAAAGAACCAAACCCAAACCCAAACAACAGCTGAAAAGACAACGCAAGATAGAATAGAGGACAAAAAAAATCCTCAAAAGAAACAGCATTTATATAAAGTAATCAAGTTAAGGCACAAACAATGTACTAATTGAAATGGGCAGATTTTCCCCTGTACTTCTCCGCAGGGAAAAAAGGCTAGAAAAATACATTAGAGCAAATTATTTTGAAAGATAGTGTTTAGTAAAGATGAACTAGAATGGGAAAACCAAAAAAATTATTTTGAAGGGAACAGAAAATTAAATGGGTTATAACCATGGGATAAAAAAAGCCAGTGCTTAAAGAGCTGAGAAAAATAACACGCTAGAAAAATACCTAGATTAAAGAGCTGCACGCTTCCAATCACATGGCTATGGCAACAGGAAGCAGCATTTGTAGTACTAAAACTACATGCAGGTGCTGCATAAAAGTCCCCTCTGGAAGTCATATGGAACCTAAGCATTCCAACAACTCTGACTATAAAGAAAGAAAAATCTTCCATACAATAAGAACACCTAATTTTATAGCTGTTTCTGAAATAAATTTTCATAGCCTCATGTAAGTATGCTGTTTATTGCTTACAGCTCTTCCAAGGAAAACTTGATTGTATGCACCACAATCACACTTAATTTCCGAATACAGCCATTGCTGGAGTTAGGTTATCGCATAATAGCTTTTTGCGTACATGTGCTAAGTTGATTACAAAGCAGTAGCAGAAAGAATTAAGTCAGCCAACCAATTTGGGTGCTAAAAGCCTGTTAATGTATTCTGACTGGATCATTTGATAGGTTAGCTATTGTAACAGACAGAATTTGTTTTACTGCTTATTCTCATTTTACAAGCTGCAATCCCTTCAGGAGTAGTTACTAGGTCAGACAGATCCTCAGAAAAGAAGGGGAGAGGATTCCAGAGCATGGTCAAGCAGAAAAATTTCAAGACTGCAGACTTCTGCCACACAGAAGAGTAAGGAAGTCACAGGAAGGAGTTTGGATTCTGCAACTTCAATAGAAAAAGGTCACCAGCTCCAGTCCGTAGATGATTTAACAAAAATTTCTCCCTTAGAGAACTTGCAAAACTTATTGCAACACATCAGTCACTGATTTAACTGAAATAGTCTGTAAATGGGCTGAGGAAGACTTACTGTTATTTTCTATTTATTTTATTCTTGTTTCTATTTTCACCAAACCTCTGTAAGAACAAAATTGAAAAGCAAGAACTATGGCAACACAGGAAGTATCCATGAACTTGCCAGCTTGTTACAAACACAAGCATCTTAGAATACATTCACATCATCACTGCTATTAAACTCCTCTGGACTTCTAACTATAAAAATAAAACTTGACGTTAGTATAACTAGATTTCTATAGAAATACTTTAGCACTTACCTGCATGCAATAATACAAAAGATGCAAAATACAACAAACTAAAAAAATAATAAAACATGCTGCTTTTAAGTAGCATGTCAAGATTTATATAAGCAACTTTAAGACAGTAGTTTGCTTCCAAAAGCAGAAAATGAAGCAGCTCAATAAACCACATTGATTCATGAAAGAGCTTCTAAGCTTTCAAAGCATCACAAACTCACTGGAAGCTAGAAGCCAATACCTTACCGTTACTGAAAGTTCATATGGCTAATGTTTAGTATTTCTATCCCAAGTTAGTATTTACAATATATATTACCTTGGCAATTTCAGGATAGTAGTTATCAAAACTACTTGATGAGCTTTCCATTTTGCTTTGTTCATCATCTGAAATTATAAAACCACATTAAAAAAACCCCTAAAAACCCAAACAAACAAATCAACCCTAAAAAAACCCCAAACTACTCACAAAATTCTGTAGCAAAAATATTTCTGATTTTTTTTTTAACTCCTACCACCTCAAAACAGACAATTATTAACATAAACAGGTTGTGGGAGACTCCATCATTTCATTTTGATGCAGTGACTTCTTGAAGGATGTAACCAGTTACATAAAATGGTAAAGTAGCAGTTATTTCTAAGCTTACCTAGAACATAGCTTTAATATTAATTTTGATATCTGCATGGGGAAAGGGGATACTCAATGCACAAATTTACATTACTCTTTCCACTATACGTTGTAACTCGATTTCAAAACAAGTTCCCTCTGTTCATTAGGTTCCCAGCTCTACTCTCCAATGGTTACTGGATTTACAAAGCAACCATTCAGTTAGCTATAAGCCTCTTGCAGTTCTAAGGTCAATTGGGGACCACTGACTAAAATGTCTCTCTAAAAGACATTCTAAAAATTTCTCTCTAAAAAGAGAGCTACAGGCTTCTCTTTTTCCGATTTGCTTTGGTTGCAAACATCATGTTAAATTCCAGCAATCTTCACCAAAGCCTGTGAAATCTCGTTTTAAACTCTAATGATCCCTTTTGGCATACTGTGCTATTCATAAGCAGAACAACTTTCTACAACCTCTTCCAGGTCCTTCTGGATATGCATACACTTTGGTCTCATACCAGTTGCCTTCCCCATCCACTCTCAAGAGGAAAAAAGCACAAGAGGACATCTAGACTGTCCTTTTGTCACCAAACTACCAACTACACCTACATCACATTCCTTACAGATATCTGCCTTACCTATTCTTAAAGGGCTCCAACAGAAAAGATGCTACACCCAAGCAATCTATTCCAGTACTTCAGGGAAATGTTTATGGTCAAGGAAATTACATCTAAATTTAAGTTGCTCAGTGCAACTACAATTTCTTATTCTTCTACCTACAGTGACCACAGAACAGATTATTCCATTTTCAGCAGCACTGTACACATTTCAAAACAAGTCCCCCCTAAGTTTTCTCTTTTCCTTAAACTGCCTCAGTCCTGATATTTCATTGTGGGTTCTATTTTTCTAGACTTATGATCAGTCTCGTTATTCTCTTCTGAACTTAACTCAATTGGAATCAATACAGAATAGTGCTATTTTAATGCCAAAAGGTCAAAACTCTCATCAGTTCAAACCAACAGTGAAAAGGCCTATAATTTTTATGACCAAAGAAAACAAAAAAATTTAGCCACAATAAAGCCTTTCTTTCCAAATGCATGTACGCAGACATTGTCACATAACTGTATTAGCATTGCTGAAACCCTGCTTACCTTCATGAGACTCTCCATTTCTTTTTTCTTGCATTGCAGCCTCAAAGTTAAGCTGAAGGATTTTGTTCAGAGTGTTTATCCATTCTTCCATTTCAAGCTCACTATCTGCAGCTAAAAGGTAACTACTCTTGTCTTGCATCTTGAGCTCAAATGCAAAACGTCTGACTTTATTGTTCTATAAGAAAATAAAAGATCTTTATAATATCTTCTCATAATGTCTACTCACAATCAAAGGAAGTTATATATATTTCAGATCTTTTAACACAAATATGCAGTTTGATATTTTGAACAAGTGTGTAATCATAGTTAGACTACTGCAAAGTACAGTGACTGGGGTCCTTACAATTTTTTATTTTATTTTCCTCTTCTATTAATTGGAAATGCAATTTCTACTGTGTAGACACTGCTTTTTTCCCATATGAGTTTCTAGGTGATAATACAACACCAATAATAAGTAAGAGTAAAACAATTAATAAAGTAAGATCAGCCAGAGAGGATACAGTACATAACATAAAATAATAAAATCACACATCTGGAATAGGGCCATTATGTATAATATTTGACAGTTCAAAATCTCATTTACTTGCCCCTCACCAACAATTCAAGTGAAGAAAATAGCTATTTTCAAACCCTTTTATTCTAGTCATTGAATGACTTCTTGGCTTCACAGGTGAGCATTACTGGATTTTGATTATGCACCTGATGTTGACCCATATCTAGTCTCAAATTTCTACATGAAGTTCTGAACATCCAGATGCCAAGATGAATGCTGATGGTACTGTAGAATACAGCATAGCATTCAAGACGCAAGCCAACTACAAACTTTAAGAGTCCAAAGTACAGTTTCACTTAAAGACTGCTGTATCAGCCCAGAACCTTACTTGCAGTAGAACAAAGGAACAGTAATTTAAAAAAAAAATTTAAAAAAAGCAAAAAAAACCAAAAAGTACTTCTGATAGAGTCCGAGGAAATTGGAAATTTCGGGTTACTTGAATTGAACTGATGGAACAGAAAGTATGGAGAAGTATTTCATGAAGAGATGATATAAAAAAAAGGGGGATTTTCAAGATTAAAAACCCAAAAACGTAGAATCACAGAATGGTTAGAGGTTGGAAGGGGCCTCTGGAGGTCATCTGGTCCAATCTCCCTCCTTAAGCAGGGACACCCAGAGCCAGTTGCCCAAGGACCATGTCCAGGCAGCTTTTGAGTATCTCCAAGGATGGAGACTCCACAACCTCCCTGAGTAACCTGCCTCGGTCACCCTCACAGCGACAAAGTCTCTCCTGATGTTCAGAGGGAACCTCCTGTGTTCCAGGTTGTGCCCACTGCCTCTGCTCCTGTCACTGGGCACCACTGAGCAGAGCCTGGCTCTGTCCTCTTTGCACCCTCCCTTCAGGTATTTATATACACTGATGAGATCCGCCCCTTGATCCTTCTCTTCTCCAGGCTGAACAGTCCCAGCTCTCTCAGCCTTTCCTCATAGGAGGGATGCTCCAGTCCCTTCATCATCTTTGCGGCCTTTCACTGGTCCTTCTCCACTATGTCCATGTCTCTCTTGTACTGGGGAGCCCAGAACTGGACACAAGACTCCAGGTGTGGCCTCACCAGTGCTGAATAGAAGAGAAGGACCACCTCCCTCGACCTGCTGGCAATACTTTGCCTAATGCAGCCCAGGACACCGTTAGCCACCTTTGCTGCAAGGGCACATTGCTGGCTCATGTTCAACTTGGTGTCCACCAGGACCCCCAGGTCCTTTCCTGCCAAGCTGCTTTCCAGCTGGGTGGCCCCCAGCACGTACTGGTGCCTGGGGTTGTTCTCCCCAGCTGCAGGACTTAGCATTTCCCTTTGCTGCAGTGCCTTCCTTTCATTTGTAACTTCTGAAAAACTCAATGTTTTCTGATGATGTAAACTAATATTGTAGTGCCCATAATAGTCTACTAGAGCCACATGCCGAGAATGAGAAACAAGCCATTGCCTAAGTGGGAAACAAAAGGGGCCAGAAACAGCCCAGAAGATGGAGAATAGATATTATCAGAGAGAGTGACACCAAAGCAGAGGAAGCTGAAGAGCAGAAGGAAAGACATATTTTAAACACAAGACAAAGACTACAACTGCATTTAGGAACTGGTTTTTTTGTTTGTTGGTCTGTCTTAAAAAGACAAATCAAACCCATTTCAGTGGAGTTGTCCAGGATTGTACCCCTAAGGCAAAACAATTTGTGTAAATCCGTATCTAGATCTTGCAATATGATTACATTTATTACAGTTATAAGACTTTCCATGCAAACTATCTATTAAATGCGTATCCAAAAAACATTATTACAATATTTGGAAAAAAATAATCTTCTGTAAAGCTGTTGTATCTCTCTGCATAAATCTTCAAATAACTTTATACTCAAAAAAATATTATTTAAGAAATACATTTTTATTAAACTTTGCCTATTTCTATCCAAGTTAACAAAACCTTAAACCCAAGAGCTTTTTCCAGGTATGCTGTGCCTAACAAAACAGTTACATGATGTACTGTAAATACATAACAGAATCACAAGGAAAAAAATAATCTTTTCTTTGGCACTTGCTACTGACAAACATTTTACCAAAGCCCTTAACTTTTTAAAATAAAGAAAAGCACATAAAAGTAATGTTATAAAGGTCAAATGAAAGCATCTGGAAGGGTGACTGAATTTAATACAATTCCCACAACAAAAATCCCACACAAGAAGCTATGCAAAACATTTTACAGCTCATGTAAGCACAAAATGTAACTGAAATGAACTTTAATTTTATGCTGTCATTACTTTGCTGTGATTTAAGGTTGGGGGTTTTTGTGAGTTTGCCTTAAAATTTTGTTTGATATTTTTGATAAACACTTGACATCAACTAGTAATTTATGCTCTTTTCAGAAAGATTTTTAAAATTCAGCCTCCTGCCCTTTAAAATCTTGTTCACTGTTTTTGCAAGATGCAGCATGTCCAATTGTTCTTCTGCATGATAGGTACTTATCTACCTCTGACAAAAGTTATCTGTATTTTTAAAAAATCCATTTGCTATCAAATACAGAATTAACTGGAGAACAGGAAGAACAATTATAATTACCTGAACCACTCCCATGCATGAATCTAGAAATATTGATCCTTTAGGTTCTTTTGATATTTTTTCATCTTTGTAGAAATTGAGATTATAGGATCCATCACCAAGTTGGATTAAGTGGAAAAATCTTCTTTTAAATGACTAGTGAAAAGGAAGAAAGAAAAACAATTACAACATTAGTATTAATCAGCTTACAGAACCCGTAAGTGCTATTTACAGAGTAGGTTATAGAAAAAAAAAAAGTTTTATTTACACACAATCTAATCAGTATCCTCAGAAAATAAACCAAAAATAATTTTAAGAAAAATTAACTTAAAAACCTGCAGCAAGATTGTACTATATTATTTGAAAGTACTTTTGACCCATGGAAAGGTATTTAAAACTGACTCTACAATATTATACACAATAGATATTTATTGTGATAACTGTAAAAATAACTTGTTTGTTTCTAAATAAAGAGGCAATACCAATAAAACCTCACATTACATAGTCCCTTTTCTACTAATAATACACCAGGGTCCAGTTTGGAAAATTATGTAAAACACTGGACTTCTCCCACATACTGGATTTTTAATGCATTTTTTTCTAATTCAAGCAGAATAAAAGGAAAGTAAGATTTCACAGATATAAATTACATACAAGCTTCCCTCTGTCATCCCACACTATTTTTTTTAGAAGTAAACCACATACAAATAAACTTCTCAAAGGCACAGTGATATTTAATATTGCTGTTCAGTTTTTACCACACATAAGACATTCTTAAACTTACTCTCATTGTCACACTGATTGCACTATTCATGTTGCCTTTGTACAGCCATCCTTGTTTTGTTATTCCACCCTTCTGAGACCCAAGAGATGCTGCATCCTGGAGATGAAGAAAGGGAGATGGGGGGGGGCGCAGAAGAAACGTTTTGCATCACAGTCTGAAACTGCTGTATTTATTGAAAATTTCAGAAGTCATTTTTAAAAGATGGAACAGCTATGCTTATAATGTAATGATAATAAGGTACTGTGAGCCCCTGCGAAATTCTATAGCTTCCTAATTCCAATTATTTTATTTAAAGACCAGGGATGAGATTGGCCTCATCTAATTTCTGATAGGTAACCTGGCTACTTATATAGGCTTTCTCTATGGCCAGCAGGATGATTCAACTTTGAGATAGCTAAATATTAGTCAAGGTAAATCCCACCAAAATAGGGGAAAGAAGGAAAACTCAAAACTTTTACTTACATTTACTTTGTAAGCTTTTTAGTCTAATTAATTTTTTATTCTAATCTTCCTGTGCAAGAATTTTTACCAATTTCTATTACCAAAAAGAACAATGTGAATTTATGCTTATCCAAAACTTCAATATGGTTTGAGAAATCTCGTTTGCTTTATATGTATTACTTCAAAGACATTACTTAAGAATTTACAAAGAACTAAGTCTTGAATTTTTGAATTGGATCTGCCCTTTTACAGATCAGAATCAAAGCTTTCTAAAGAGAACAAGACCAAACTTGGCAGTAACAGCAAGTTCACAAACAGCAGATCCAATTCATGCATCACACATCACACCCACTGCCTGTATACCACTTCCATCTGCCAGTTGATGGAACTTAATAACTACATCAAAACCCATAGGATGTTAACAGCTACCAAAAAGCAGTACTCTACTATCAGAACCAATCAAAATTACACATTTATAATTGCCACAGAACAAATATTAAATCACCAGTTCAAGTAATCTTTTAGAGCAGTACCAATCTGACTTTACCATGGTTTCCAGGTGATGTAACCCATTTTGACACAACAAAACCAGTAATGAATTAGACATGCAGGAAGATTTTAAACCATCTAGAGGAGAAATACTACTGATAATTTATTATCCAAGCATTCAAAATTAGCTGAGTATCCAGTTGAAAAGAAACCCACAAAACTTCAAGTGCCTCAACTACTTTTTCTAGTTCCTTTTCTCAGCTATTAAGAGAACATACAATAAAAAGTGATTGCATATGGTGAACAGAGTCATTAGTTCAACAACTGAACATTAAACACAAATTTTTTTAATAATACAAATTAGTTTCTGGAATTAAATGAAGGAACATTCTGTAAAAAGTTACTAGTAAATTTATTTACAGCTTATTTAGTCTGTGCATATTCATATGCACATGCGAACTTCAAAAAACTGCAAACAGAAGGCAAAAGATGCATCAATCTCTTTCTTCAAAAATTCTGGTCAACTTGATATGGAAGGAAATTAGGCCCAGTAGGGATGACATGGTCACCAACTATCAGAGGATACGATATACTGCTCCAGAAGCATAGATCCAAACTACTCAGTAAATGTTCATATGCCCCAGTGAATCTCATTGTCCAAGCAATACAGTCTACTTGTGTCACATTTTCAAGTCATTAGCTCCCACCCCTATTCTATTACCTAGATAACTATTTTTCTTGTACAACAATCAAGATACAGAGACAACAACTTAAAACACTGGGTTTCCAACTATGATTCTCCACCTCCACTGGTGGGCGTTATCCCCAAGGAAAGGATGGTTTAAAACCACCTCTACAAGTGTAAGATGATGAGTAGATGATGAGTTACCGTCAAAACTTGGCACAAAACAACCAATGCTTTTCTGTAATTTCACAAACCATACATAGGATCACCTGACACGACAAGAATTCCTTCATTACCTGTGTTAACAAAAATTAAGATTTAGCTCTATAAAGACTCTTTTTCCAATTCCAAGTCTCCGAGGTGCACTGTTGCCCAACTCTGTTGAGCTGCATGCTCTTTTCTAACAAGAAAACTGACTGTCATTTGGTCCTCTCTAGTTACACCACTTCTTTCTGTCAGGCAGAATTCCTGCCTACAGAGCCAAAAAGCTATTGAATCTTTCCAGCTGACCATCTGTTAATACAAAGGAACCCAGAACCCAGTTAACACATGACTTTTACACTGAAACATACTTCCTGTTTCCAACTAGTAAGTTAATTTCCTCACTTTTATTATTACTGCTGCACACCGTGCTTCACTTTTTTTAAATGAGCTTTCCCACAAACTCAGCTCTGAAATTTACTTCAACAGCAACTGTTTCAACAAAACCAACTCCTTATCTTGATCCCATACCCCAGGCTGATTTAAAAATTCCATTTACAAATATCAACCTGATGGCCTGATAGCCCAAATTAGTTTTGGAAGGTAATTCTCTCCTTTTTAATGATGCCAGATTAAACTAATCCTTATCTGGTTTTCCTCCAATTGTTAATCACTTGCAGCTTTTTGTTTTCTACCATTCTCTTAATAAATCAGTTTTCTGAAAAGAAACCCACAAACAAAAGTGAAACAAAAAGACCACCAAACAACTTTTAATCTAAGATTTGCATTTATACTTTTTGGCATACAAAGATGTTCATGTTTGAAAGAAAAACCCCTTGCATTAATTCTTCCCTTGAGGAAAGAATTTATGGTCTCCCCACCCTATTCCCACTAAGCTCCCTTTTCTTCCTAGCATCCTTTTTTCTTGTGTTTATATTTTAAGTTCCTCAAAGAGTAGCAGACCTCTTCTCCAGTGACTGTACCTCTGAAAGTGATACGATGTTCCTGCTTGCTCTAACAGGAAACTGGGCAGAAGGAAACAGGAAGTCCTCTCCATTTATACTTCCTAGTAAAACACATACCACCTGATAACAGCCAAGCTATAGTTTTTCAGTGTTTAGCAAACTCGAGCCATAAGTATTGTTCCCAATAACAATCACAGTCAATTATATCTCCATGTAATTTTCTTCATATTTCACTCACTGTTTTCTTAAACACTTCTGTTGACAGAAACATTATCACAGTAAATAATGCCAAGACTTTTTAATGTCAGTATAATAGAAATCGTAATTATTCCCATCTTATAAATAGAAAGATTTGGATACAGATGCATGAAATTATTTGTCCAAATATCACAGTGCAGATCAACAGCAGCACTGGAGAAATGGCAACCTGAGACTATCTGTTCAGGAATCTACCCATTCAGGTGCACTCCCTGAACTAATTTTTCACGTTTAATCCAGGAAAACTTGTAAGGAACTACTTTTATTTCATGTGCAGCAGTTCTGAATACAAGGAATTTAGAAGCAAAGTAACTGTCAAAGTATAAAAACCACAAAAAATAATTTCATATTATTTTAATTCTTTTCTGTGATGCAAGAGTTCAAGTACTTGCACAAAAAGACAACAGTGGCATTTAAAAACTGTGTTTTCAAACAAGGCGTGGTAAAAATTAAATAAGTCACACAAATAACAGAAAGAGTTATTGAGAAAAGTCTTTGACATCTGAAACATACTTGAAAATGGCTTGAAGCTATAAATCTCTGGTTTCCCTAAGCCAATGACAAAAAAAGAAAATACCTTAGAGTTTTAGTCAATTTTTTTAGCTTTTGTTTCCATGATGGATCTCCAGGTCTTATCCTATACTCAAATTTGTGACAAACTAATTTTAACTCACACTGTACGCTATACTGTCATGCATTCTTGTGTGTGTGTACTGTCATGTTGGAATAGATTCACCTATGATTGTACTTGACTTGGCGATTAAACTGCATGAAACATTTCTCTCTACCATTTACATAGAAACAGTATGTTTTATGAAAGCTGAAGTATGATACATCATCAAATATTAAAACTTCAATTTCACCATCTGTCAAAACTTGTCCTACTCACATGACGGATCTCAGGAGTACAAGGCTATTTGAAATGAGATAGGTAAAATACCTGCATTTGTTTCCCAATCAAGCTGTTCAACCTAATCTCTGTTTTCATTTACTGACATCAACATTTAATGCAACTTGTAACCTCTGCTCACCCAACAATTCTTTACTGAAAGCAAAAGAAAGTAAGGAATTACTATTATATCACCTCATCTTTATCTGCTTCTTCATCCACTTCATATAAATGAACGGGAAGCTTCTCTGGTTTTGTCCCTTTACTAGAAAAGAAAAAGCTTCTAAAATACTAGAAATTTCATGATTAGTTACATATTTTATAGCTGCAAAAATAAAGACATTATTTTCCAAACTGAAGAGAAAAAGCACAAAAATAACTGTGTAAAAGCATGTATTTTTCATGAAATATATTTCTTAGGCAGCAATTTTCCTAATTTGCACATCTGCCCACAGTCTTTCTTTTGTTCTGCTTGTCACTGTCCCTATGTGTAATTGAAGAGAATCAAATTCCTTCTCATTCACTGCACTTCTAATATCTTAGGAGCAAGAATTCATACCTGCAACCATTGGCTCCTTTTAGGACAATGCATTTATTTAAATTCCTATTGACTGTTGTGGTTTCTGTTCAGGGCAAGTAAAAACCAGGTACTGACTTTTACAAAACCTGTGAGTAGATCAGAACTTTTTACAGGGAAAGCAAGCTATTTCTTAACTGATAGATGCAGGAGAGTAGGTAGGGAAGACATAGATCTCCAGCATTGTGGGATTCAGAATTTTCACCCACCCTCAGATATTTTAAGGTTCTAATCTGTACACTCTCCTTACAAAATTTTGAAAAAGTTGGAGAAGATTTCTCTAGCAGATGGTTTAGAAAGTCTGTGATAGATGTAGATTAGGCTTTTGCTTTGAATCATCCTGTGAAAATCTGCACTAGTTCAAACACTTGCTCTAACCATCTGGGTTAGGTTCTATTCCCTAAGCTCCTAAAGAGAACTCCAAAAGCTGCCTCTGAAGCTACAAAACCAGGGTATCACCATTTTAGTTTCATCTAAACATTAGCCTGTTTTAGTTATCATACTTACATTCACATTGTCAATGATATAATTCCTTGGTTTGACCTGCCTATTAATAAGGCAGTATTATTTCAGTATCTTTCCAGAAAATGGTTTAACAAGATTTTACACCTTCATGTTCATCAATATAAATTCCATCCCAACACATCTTTATCACCTCTACTGACTATTAAACACTGATAGAGCATGTTTCATGTTACATATTACATGTATTAATACATTTCTGTAATAAATACATTTATATTAAATACAGTTGAAGTCCCTTCACAAATTCAAAATCTTTATTATACCACTAGATAACATACATACTTTGGAAGCTGTCGAAACTCTCCTGAGTAATCTTCGTATCTATAGTTAACAACATGCCAGTCTGAATTGTAGGTTTTGATGCACTGTTTTAATGAAAACCAAATATCAGTTTTAATTGGAAAAGGATTAGTAGCATTCCCTAGACACATACACAAAAAACCTCTTAAGATATGACTGTTCATGAACTACTATGGTTACATGTCGATCTCTGAAAATTCTACACACTTCCCTTCTTTTGCAATACAGTCTAGTGCTATACAGCTTTTTGCAACAAGTGATATGTTTCAATATGACGTTATCATCTGCTAGATGTCTATTTTATAAAACCAGAAAATGGTGAATACACTCAGCATCTGGATTAACTATCTTCAGTTGCCTGAAAAGTTCAGCTGCAGCAAAATGCTGCTTTAAAACATGACTGAGCCTCAGCATTAAAATACAGATACATTATTAAAATCGAATATTCGATTTCACACATACTGATACAGAGAAACTAAAAACATGTTTTCCTTTAAATTTATACTTCTAGTGCAATTAAATTAATATTTAAATTTAAACTGGATGCTTGCAGCTGTTGAAAAGCAATTATGTCATTAAGCTCTGGTCTAGATCACAGGAAATACCGTTTTCCTCCACCCATATTGCTACAACATAGAAGTACTGATTTATCTTGGCTTTGACTAAAGTAACATAAAACTGACAAAATCTGCTGCCAGAAACCATACGGTACAAAATTTTATATGTTACACAAATAGACTTACATGTACACAAACATAGCATCTAATAATTCAGAAGTATTTTCTTTATATTTCAAAATACAGGGTTAATACTTGCCAAGCAATTGTTTCTGCAGAAACTCATTAAACTTTATGAATTACCTATAACACTCCTCCCTCCTTGTCTACCTTCTTCAAATTTATCTTAGGACTGTTTAGGTTAGGTATTAAGGGTATGTATCACGGTGGATAAATCACTTTGAGGTTTGAGGTAGCTATTTGGAGCTCCTTCAGTTTTCTTGGAATTACAAGACATTTACTCGTTTCAGATGCTAAAATATCAGCTTAAAGTATATCAGTAGCAAACCAGTAGATAACATAAAAAAGACAAAAATTTTAAACTTTTCATTCCTGAAAGGCTTCGACGAGACACTAAATCAAACACAACACCACAGTCAGAACCAAGGGAATGCCAACATAAGCAAGCAGTTATGAGAAACTTTAGGTTTGGGGCTGTTTCTTCTACATATAGCGTACAAATTGAGTAGTCATAATGAATTCTGGCCCCTACAACTGTTACAGTTATGAATACCTCTGTTCCAGCAAACTATACAAGAGTATTATGCATAAACTAAGAACGACTGGTATGAAACACTTTATCAGGAAAAACAAGTCACAATGGTTCATTCCAGATTTACTATTGCTCCCAATATTATATATGGAAGTCACCCATGTTCATCTGGGGAAGCCAAAAGCATAAAGAAGGTGGGGGAGAAGCTTCTGCAAAAGCCAATTACACAAACAAAATAACTCAAAGCTATCCTGTAATTCTCTTCCAGCTACCAGTGGAAAAAATACTCGGCTTTCCTGGAAATTGTGCCTTGAAATAATTGACAGGTAAATAGCAATAAATACTTAATATTTTTTCAAAGCTTTTTTCCCTGTTTTTTAAATGGCAGATGAAGCAGAAGAAAAACAATTCAGGTATAATACACACAGCCACATCCAATTCCAATATTACCTCAGTTACAAACAAGCTTTGAGCTTCCTTCTCCGCATTTTCAGGAACTGTTGAACAAATGTATCGACTCTGCCGCTTCAATAATGCTGTCTGATAAACAACAAAAACAATTATTGAAACTTCCAGTTAAAGCAAAGATGACACATTATAGCAACACTCAGTTATATCACTATAAAGCAGAAGCTCAGCAGAAAACATCCTGTGAATACGCTGTTTCAGAATAGCCAATTAATGAGAATTTGCTTTCATTCAAAGATTAGCAATGTGTTCCTTCTTTCACAGCAAGGGCAAGATTGGAATCAGTAAGAAATAGATGCCATAGAAAAGTGTTTTTCTCTATTTTGTTAACATAGGCAAGAAAATACTAGCAAAAATAATTCTACCATGATGACATAACTCCAATTATTTTGAATACAGTCCTTAAGGTAGTGTTATTACTACATATAAAAACTATTACTCAAGAAAAGTAACAAACCCACACCAAAATAAGAAGAGCAGTTCAACTGCAGATCTCAGGTGGCAAAAAATGAGACTTGCATTGTTGAACTGAAGGTTTAGAAAGAAGGCCTGGATCACTGAAGTATACACTTGGGCTAGAAGGTGTTTTCATGTTCTTGACAGTTTTAGCAAATAGCTCTGTTTCTGAGGTTAAAAAAAATAAAATATTTTACTGATGTTAAAATCTGGCATGCAATTTTAAGTCATCCTAGTCCCCCTTCCCCATGCTTTAGGGCAAAGTAATAGCAAGACGGACAGGGTTCTTCTTAAGACAAACATGCTTGTACGTGGCACTAAAGAACTGCCAAAAGACAGCTAAGGATTTTATAGTGAGGTGTCTTAGCACAATGCATACTTAAGTATTTAAAATGAATGTATAAATGCGTAGCTGTGGTGGGCCTTTTTTCAGGTCACAGTTTATACAAAAGTCAATGCTGCAAAGTATGAATCAACAAAATCAGTCTTTAGTTCTATCAAGATGAAAAATAAGCATGTGTAAATTTTTCATATACAAAACATTTAATAAAATTTTTAAAAAGTCCAAAATCAAATCACATACAAAGAAGTAGTTCTCAAAATTATTCTCTTCATTTTGGGAAATAAGGTGCCAATGCCTACATTTCTACAGCAAAAAATAATGGCAGATCTTAAATTTCCAGTGTTTTATCTAGTGTAGGAAGGTATCTTCCGCAGCAATTCTACACTGAACAACAGGTCCACATGCAGTTATTTTAGAGGAAAGGACTATAGTAGATGTAGGTGAGAGACAGAAGCCAGCCAACACACAACATTCCTCAAGTCTATTTGACCTGTCTTCAGACATGTCCATTTTGGTTTGTTATTCATTAGCTTTTGCCTTTCTCCCTCCTGTGTTTTTAACACAGGTGGTTTATATTTTTCTCTCCACTGTGGAGGTGTTCAAGCAGTTTCTGTCATCTAACAAGGTTCTGCTCTTCCTGCTCTGTAAATCTGACAATGTCTACCTAGTGACAGTACTCTTATTCTGTGCAAGTCTCAGCAGCTACAGTGAACAGAGAAAGTACAAAATATTGCTGCTGACACCACACACTCACTGCCAATACCTGTTTTAAAATTATTTTTTCCTCTTCACACACTCGTTCCAGTGTTGGCTGTTGAATATGAGCTAGTAAAATTTTCCCCCAAGACCACTTCCCCCTCCACATCCCTTTAGGATGCTTGAAATTATGGTTATTAACAGTTGGTTATTTAAAATATTGGGAAAGGAATAAAAAAAAAAAGCCACAAGAGTGTACAAGTGTGTGTGTGTGTATATATATATAACCAATGGAGATTATTAATAAAGTCCTGTATCTTACTGGTAAAATAGGGACTATGCAAAATGCAGGAAAAATGGGAAGAAAAGTACAGGGTTTCAATTCAACAGTGACATACCCAGGCCATCCTTACTTTAGATGATGTTACAGAGGCAAATGCTCAAGAAGTAGTGACAGAAATTGTTTTAAAAGAGTCGATGGAAAAGATGGGATGCTGTATGTTAGATCATGCCCTTAAAGCTACTACGTGCCAGAAGAGACTTATCAGTTGTATGGGAAGCATCAGAACCTGTATTATAATGTAATTTCCAGACTAAATTGAAGCCTTGATTTAGAATAGTTGCTTGTACCGTCTACTTAAGATGTGCCTTCTTGTAGAATAACCTGGGTTAACTTTTATTTCTGAAAATAGCTATTATGCCAACTTTGCAGAGGTACTTGACTCGCATTAACTAAAAGCCAAGAGCTTTAAGTGAAAGCGTGCTAAATCCATATGGCTCAAACCCAAAAGTAACAAAGGTGAAACAATGTCTAAGCTAGGCACCAAAATGACTTCAAAATAACAGCAGGATAACTTTGTAATGACATTTAATTTGGGTAGGAATGTACCCACATTGTATTTGCTACAAGTAAACTTATCCTGTATTTGGAAAAATACTTCCTATATGAATGGAGGTAGTACTTAGGTATTTTGAAACAAAAGCATTTATATGCAAGGCATCTTATTGCAAAGTAGCAATAAGCTAGCACAGTTTTGGGTTAAGGTTTCTTTTAATAATTTACCTGCTATGCAGTTAATGTAAACACCACCAATTTTGCAGTCATTGAGCATATGATTTTAACATGATCCATGAAGGTAGTCTGTTTTAGAATAATGCTGTTTAGTTATGAGGCCATTTCATTACTGAATAAATTACTGAAATTCAGATGACTTGGAATAATTATAAGCCGCCATGAAGAGGCACAAAATTGGATACCAGAGTACCCAATGGATATAGTAATTCAAGGGTATGAAAGACAAGACTCACTCTTCTCAGCAAGAATCCAGAAGAGGTACAGCCTTGAAAGACTGACAGCATTGTAACTGAGAGTAGCAAGAATATTCATAGGAGATGGACATGCTCCAGTGGGTGGTGGGAAAGTGGTTCTATCTTCTTAAACAAACACATTATATGGGGACCATAATGAAAACAAAATAATGACAAAAAAAGCAGCTAGAAATGAACAGACTACAAAGCACGAAGTACTGAAAGTTTAGACAGCCCAGTTACTAAGAATGAAAGCCAATTCAGTGATGTTAACAGTAAAAAGGATCTTCAAACACGACTGCCCCTATAAATGTGATGAGAACAAGTTAGGGAATAACCTGATTAGTGAATTCAGTGCAGAAAAGTCAGAACTTGAGCTTGTGAAAAGCAACAATCAAGAAACAATCTTGAAATGGTAAATTAAAAAATGACCCAATATGTGAAGAGAAAGTTGCTGATAAAGAGCTCTTCTGGAAACTAGAGAAAAGCAAATCTTGCTATTGTTTGGATATGATGGCATCAAGGAAAATGCAGAAACTCAAAAGGAAGAAAAAAATTACAAGCCTACTTATCTGGATTTGAAGATCAGCACAAAGCAGGATAAAAATCATGCTTTTCTGAAAAGTAAATGAGCTGCTACCAAACATACGTAAAAGGAGAGAAAACAGGACTCATAACCTCAGCTAACCAAGTTTAGGATGATGGCAAATGCATTTGAGTGGAAATCTGGAAACTAGATCAGTTGGCTGAATAATAATCCTTCAATCTTTACGAGTTTTCCCAGAGCAGAGCATTTTCTGTTCCATCCTTGCTCAAATACTTTTTTGGTAGCAGTTTGAGCTTAGAGCTGCTTCTGACAGCATGTTTGGAGAACAGTCGCAGCTGAACAGAAAAAGGTGACTTACTGGTTTTTTTCCTTTCCCTCAGTAGGCAAATAACTTTCATCAGGAAAAAGAAAGAAAAGCAAGCTACATGTGCTCCAAAGAAGTGAGCTGCTGTGCAAGCTTTCTTTTCTGATACGGACTAACAATTCATATCAGTTCTTAAATATTTAGCTTCTCTGAGGTGGTAAGAGTTACAAACTGAATGTGGCACTGACCATGACTACAGAACAAGACATTAAAACATTTGTTACAAAAATCTTGCCTTTGAATTCCTGCAAGTATTGTTACTAGATATATGAAAAATACACTTATTAAATTACATTTCAGTTATCTATCTGCATTACCTGAAAAAAAGTTATCCAAATTATGCACAAACATTTGTCTCCAATTTCTCCCAAAATAATTTCAACTTTAGTACAAATTCAATAGTGTTATCAATCTGCCTTTTTGACACTACGTAACTTCTGTAATCTACCGAAAATTGTAGAAGTGGTATCTAGTCCTGAAAAGTAGGTATTTTCTGTGCTGTTTTAAGTGCTAGTTTTAAGGCCATGCTGGTAACAAAATAACCTTACTCTTAAAGGCTTTATAAATTATCAGGGCTTGGCTTCCTTTTTAGGCAAGTGTTTTTTAGATTGTAATCAGTTTAACCTAAGCACGTGGAAAAACTTTGTAAAAATAAAAACTAAATCCTCTAAGAGGAAATGGCTTGAACAGGTTTTTAGACAATGGTAGGAGTTTCCACGTATCAACTCTTTTATGTGTGTATACAGGTAGTTTTAAATACTGTAGCTCACTATTTAAATTAATCTTGTGGGGGATGAGGGCAGTACCAAACATTTGAGCTGAGGCTTACTTACCCAAAGGCTGCCCACGTATCGTGTGACAGCAAGAGGTTAGGAAAACGGAAATGAAAAAAAAAATATGTGAAGCAGAATGGCAAATACATAAAATATGCCATTATTGAAAAGCTTCAAATGATATTGGCAACCATGTCAAGACTAACGGTTTCAAAACCATAAATATGGTTATGGAAAACTGCACAGGGTTAAAACGTTTAATTTGCAAAAAAAATAAAGAAGCACGTAAGATATTTTTGTTATCTGACTGGGTAATATTTTCTTAATACATTGAGTGACAGATTTAAATGCATTGTGTTGTTGACAACAAGCTAGATAAATCAAAGTAGTACTGGAGAGTCATGTGTACAATAAAAATATTTGGAGTAAGCTCGTGCCAGCAAATCTATAAGGAAATAGAAGTTTGATAGCATAATAATAAAGTTTGATAGTACAAACCAGTCTTCCTATAAATCGAGTCAAAATGAGACTCTGACAAAGACCACATAGGGGAAACCCAGAAAATGTATTCAGATATTACACTGCTGAGGGATAAAGAAACAGGAAATCTGACT